ATATTAATTGTAAGCTATTAGTATATTCAGTTGTGAAAAGTAGAGTAGATCCAATTTCCAAAGTCAAGTTGGCAAGAACAAGATGTCCTTGTAAGCATGTTGTAAGGGTCCCTGAGGTTAAGGTATGATTGGTCTGGCTATAATGGACAGTTAATTTGTAAGTAATACTGACAGGACAGATAATATTTTGAAAAGTAGAAAACACTGCTAATGTTTCTAATTTTTGGCAAATAGGAAACAGAGATGGTGCTTCTAAAATCTCAGAATTCAAATACAAAATACTAGCAAACACAAGAAAAACTATATTCATTTATCCCTTTGACATGTTTAAGAATTCATTAACCTTGACTACTCAGTAGATGCTGGGAAGGAATAAGAGCCCAGGTGTACACAAAGCTGACGTGCAAAAACTACACTAATAAGGATAGTCTATCAGGCCCTCAGGTATACATTAGTTACTTTTAATTTTTAAGTACAAAACTCAAAGTATTACTGGTTTTACCTAGATACACAGCAAATTAGAGGGGGATGCAAAATATAACAGCAATAGGGCAAGAGGCAGCAGAAAATAACAATGAAAATGATAAAAGGAATTTAAAAATAATAGCATAAAGCCATTTTGCATAAAGTAAACAGCCTCACAAATCTCAGTGAGCTGACAGCAGCTACTGTTGTGTGGTGCAATACTGACACCTATGACCTTGAATCTGGTAGCTATATCTTATTTGTATGCTCTGTTTAACAAGGTATGAGGTGGTATATTTGTGCAATGATATGGCTTTGTATCATACAAATAAAATTTAAAGATTATAGAAAACATCACCCAAAAACTATAGGATATAAAACTTTAGACTATTAATAGAAGGAAATACCTGCATTTGATTTCCAGCTCTATCCCTATGAGCAGTCTAACCTTGGGCTAAGTTCCTTCATCTCTCAAAAATTAAATGCTGTTGGTAGTACCTACTGCATAGGGTTGGAAGAATAACTGAGATGATTAATGTCTAGTGTTCTGCAGCATGTTGGAGTGAAGCAAGTGTAAGCTATCATCATTAAAGACATTCATGTCAGAATAAAGCAGACATTTTAAAACATGTTAAGCTTATCAGACATATCGGAAAAGAGACTTGCAGTATATTAAAGCTATTTATATAATAAGATTTCTTTCAACTTTTTGCATGTGTGTGTTTTTCTCCCACTGTCCCTGTTCTGGCAAAACTCTTGCAATAACCTGTGAGCTAGATTAGGTAGGCCTTATTTCCATTTCATAGAGACAGTGTCAGAATTATGATTTGTCAGTTTCATGGGAAATTAATGAAAGTAGAACTAGACAGGCCAGTGTCTTGACCATTGTTGTAGCCCCATGACTGCTCTACATGCTCTTAATTAATACAGCAAAAGCTGGTCACTGCCTCAACTTTGGAATAGGCAGAACATAAATGGTAGTAGCTTTATAAAACATGTTACCCTCTTTTTCTCTGAGGCATGTTGATTTTTTCAACTCCATCATAATCATTAAATTAAATGATAGTTTAAGTGAACTCAGAAAAGACGGGCCAGTCATAGCTTTACCGCTCAGACCTTGACTTAATTAAGCTTACAACTTTGTTATACTCCAAGGAAAAAAAACACCATTAAGACTACTCTACATTTTCTGGATACATGCGACTAAATAAATACCTCTCATAATTGTTAACACCTTGGCACAATTAAAATGTAGCCAAATAACTAAGTAATAAATATTAAGCAAAGAATTTCTATTAAAGCAATTAAATTAGGTAATACGAACTGATAAAAATAGCTGTCCCTTTATTCCCATGCCTAAAATTCGATTCAAGGGAACGAACAAAGAAAATATACAAAGAAAAGAAACTATTAAATAATATTTATTGAAGACTTGATACACATGGTAATGTACATACCTTAGCTTTGAGAAGTTAACAAGACAGCCTTAAGTTATTATTATTTTTTTTTTTTTTGAGACAGAGTCTCACTGTGTTGCCTGGGCTAGAGTGCCGTGGCGTCATCCTAGCTCACAGCAACCTCAAACTCCTGGGCTTAAGC